AAAACATGGTTATACCTCAAAATTAATGAGGAATTTTTTAAGAAACAGATTTCCACTAATTTTACTTCATGTCTACTGAGTCAGAATCCTCTGAAGTGGGACCCAGAAATCTTCATTTTCTGAAATCTTCCCCATGTGGTACTGGGGCTGCCAGTCTCCTGCAGGGGGTTTGAGAGCGCTGAGTTATAGAAATGGTGAGAATTCAACTGCAGAGGACTTTGCAAAAGGGCTCAGAATTGATCTGTGCCCTGGACAGCCCTAATGGACAGGAAATACATTTACCACATCTGCCTGCATTGTTCAAGCTGCCGTGTCAAATGTCTTTGTGTCTTCAGAAAGTGTCATAAAAGCACAAGGTGGGGGCACCACAAATATCTGACAACCAAATGAGCATTACTTTGTTACAGAAAACAACTCAGCCGCTTTCAGGTGTACGGAGTGGAACTTTATTTACACATGCGGACCCAGAGGAGGCAGTCTCCAAATTCTGGGTCCTGAGCTCAGGCAGGGACTTGTTTATATAGTGTAGCATGCGGAAGCAATTTTACTAAGCCTATGTGGTAGAAGCATGTTTACAGAAGCAAGAAAGCAGGGCTGCTGATAGGGTCCTACAATGTTCTTTTGTTCTTCTTAGTTACTTAGTTGCTCACCCCTCCTTATCTTACTGGCTCAGCAAAGGGACTGTGTCCTTCTGACTTGACCGGGCTTGTCTAAGCAGGTCTCCTGCTACAACTTAATACCACTGTTAGCAGGGGAGATAACTAGCACTATGGTTGTGTCTCTTTGGCCAAAACACTCTAAAAATACCAATTTATTAAAATTAAAAACATGGATAGCCTAAAGCTCAAGTATTTACTCAGAGTTTTCAGCAATTCTGGTAATTTTTTTTAAATCAAGACTCAGCCATTTTTATAAAAATGTCTGCTTTAAACAAGATAACAGAACACAGGAGATGGTATCAGTCACTGTGGACACTGCCACACCGGGACTTTGTGGGCTGACCGGGGAAAATGTGTTTGCTGGTACTCCTTCAGAATCAGTCATCTTCCTTGGGTGACTGTGACAGATAATCCAGGTAATGACACATGGAGATGATAATGGGGGTTAATTCAGATATGTACTAAATAATGGAGGTAGGAAAAATCATTTTAAACTAAGCTTGACAGTCATCCATGATGTTTATTTCAAAATGTTTTGAAATAAATGTTATGAAACATTTTATCTTCTTGGTAAAAGAAGAGATAGTATTGCTTGTAATCATTAGTTGACATTTCGTTGTACATGTCAAAGCCAAGATTCTTGTTAGACATTAAAATTTTTCTTAAGTCTTTTATTTCTGAACTTCAGTCTTCTAAAGTAAAAGTCTTATTTGGAATAGGGGCCATCAGAAAGTGGATGTTGGGGAAAAGAATTGATATCCAGGGATTGATACTTCTCTCTGTTCTAAAACCATATGCCAGAGTAACATGCATTTAAAAGTAGCTAATAATGTTTTCGATTTTTTAAATTTTAGTTGTTGTCCAAGTCCAGTTTTCTGTCTTTTACTCCCATCCCAGCCCACCCGCCCAGTGCTCCCCACCTCCCTCCCATTTCCACCCCCCACTAGTTTTTGTCCATGTGTCCTTTATACTAGTTTCTGTAACTCTTTCCCCTTCCCCCCGAAAGTCCCTCCACTCTCCCCTCTGGTCACTGTCAGCCTGTTCTCTATTTCAGTGTCTTTGGTTATATTTTGCTTGTTTGTTCAGGTGCAGTTTTATGGCTAACCCTCAACTAAAAACAGGTGATTTTAACTTCTTTTATATGTTCATTAAGTATGTTGAGTTAGGAGAAGCCATGAACCATGTGGGCAAAAACTCCAGATATGTTTGCTTATGTGAGTAGGAGAATCGGGCATGGCTGGACCCAGAAATGCAGCAGAGTTGTCAAAGTGCTGTCCTTGCATGTTGGGGACAAGTTCTCTGCGTGGCTGGTCGGTAGACCAGCCAGTTAGAGCAGCCTCACACCTGCCGATTTATAACTCTGGCGAAAAGTCTTTCCAGATAGCTGCCGCAGGGAAGACTCTGGAGGAATGGGATTTTCCCAGGTTGGATCATCTTTCATCTCCACGTCCACCACACGTGCATCCTTGCGCCTTTCACCAATCCGTACCTGGGATGGGTAACTCTTGTAAGCTAGCCCCGTGTCATTGCCTGCCTTCGTCAATGGGTGAGGGCCGGCCCTTCCGGGAAGTCACATGCCGTGGGTTTCTCACAGACGTGTTTCTCAGCAGGGCTGCTATTTGTCGGGACAGTCCTGCGTCAGGCCCCTCCACCACAAGTCACAGAGACGCGTCGTGACAACTAAAAAGGCTCAACATCTTTTCAAATACTCCTTTTGGGCCACTTCTGAAGAAAGGAAGGGAAGGAGAGAGGGAGGAAGGGAGGAAGGGAGGGAGGGAGGGAGGGAGGGAGGGAGGGAGGAAGGAAGGAAGGAAGGAAGGAAGGAAGGAAGGAAGGAAGGAAGGAAGGAAGGAAGGAAGGAAGGAAGGAAGGAAGGAAGGAACCAAAAAACAGTGATTAGTGCTGGAGCCATAAATCTGAGTAAGACAGAGGTTAGGTTTTTGAGTTTCCTTCACAGACTTGAAATCATTATCATTAGCATCCATGGGGGTATTGTGCCCTCAAGTCCTCTCCGTTAGCACCTTACTTGCATTTGGGTTTCAGGCTGTCTAAATGGGAACATTGTGCTCCCTGAGTGGGGGAGAGGAGGAAAAAGAGGTAATCTCCTCCGGGGCTCAGCAACTGGCATTAAAATAGAACCGCATTCCCTCCTTGCTGGCAGAACTTGTACAAGCACCAGATTCTGAAGAGAAGGCCTGACTGGTAGGATGACATGATACGTGGGCAACCATAGAAAGTTGAAGACTAGGAGAACTAAAAGCCTTCCCAACACCTTTACCAAATCTGAACACATATCAGAGACCCAAGTATTACATTTCAAACACCCACATAGTAGATTTCGGCTTTGGATTCAGATCATGCTTCATTTCAGGAATCTCACAAAAATACACTTCAGTTGGTCATTATCTTAGGTCTTTGGATTGGCTGAAAAATATCACTGCTCTGTGAATCCTGCCTAGTTTGAGTCCCTCTGTTTGAGTCCCCCTCTCCTCCAATGTTTCAGAAGGGGGTTGATAGGCCCTTGGGAGCACAGGACTTCACTTGGCCTCTGATCTCAGCACCCCAAGAGTAATCTAAAATTCCAAGAGAATTTGAAGCAGACAATTTTCTGCCAATCCTTAAAGCAGAATGTTTATTGGCTTTCTTGAAGAAAATCTCCAAAAAAATGCAAATTGTAACAAATTAAACCCCAAGGGTTCTGCAGTAATGTTCTGGCCTTGGAATACCAGTGAATACATTTTGCAGTTCACATTGGAGGTCATGGGAGAATCCCAAGCAAATACTGGAAAACCAGAATTGCAGTCCTCCACGCTGCCCCTGAAACCTTTGTATCACTGATTTATAGTGTCGCTTCAGTGGGGAAAGAACAGTATTAAGAGGTACTAAGTTACATGTGTTTAACAAGGTTGAAGAATTCTGTGTAAAATATACTTCTAAAAACAATACTATCAGCCATGGGAATAGCCAGCTCCAGATTTATCTTACCACCTTTGTGTCAAATTTTTAAAAATATCATTAAAGGCTAAGTGATCTCTTGCTTTGCTCTAGACGAAGTCATTGCCCATTGTTTCCTATTCTCCTCTGCATCTCCAGCATGGAATCATCAAAGTCTCCTAGTGGCAGTTTTTACTACAGCCTTTGGCAGATGAATGAGATATCTTACATTAAAAACTCCTAACATAACTGTTTCCTTCTCCTTTACATATTCTTGGAGTAGAAACATATTATAAGTAGAAACTGAGGCCAAGTTATTCCCTTTAAATGGCAAAAATATATAATGAAACATGCACAATACCAAATTAATCGGCCCTTAAGATAATCTAAAGTTCGTCACATGGGAAGAAAATGCCTAGATAGTATGCTCTCAAAGTAGTATAGGAAAGTACACACATTTGGTCTAACTCTCCTGGCAATTTAGACAGTCATTTGTTTGGCTTAGCCTAGAGACCAGAGAGAACAGAGCTGGCAGGTGTTCAGTGGATATTTGTGAAGAGTTCTTCGGCAGGTCCAACGCAATCTGCCGGAGACTTTTTCTGAGTAAGCTGCGAAATGATGGGGCCCTGGTTTAGATGTTGTGTTGCATTACGGATTTTATTTTCCTTCTTTATTAAGGATGAGAGAACCTTGAATGTATAATGGATAGCAAATGATTGTACATCTGTGAATGTATCTGACATTTTGGAGCTTACATTATTTTAGTTTATTTTATTTTTAAAATTATGCTTTTTTTTTGCCAACTTCAAGAATGAAACAGAATCTTTGGGATCCTCCTCCTATCCCCACATCAGATAATTCTGTAAGCACATGTTCTCCTTAATTGTCCATATTTTCTTCAATCTGTAATGTTGGTTACAGATATTCTCACTCTTACATTATGAGTACTCTTTCCTAAAAATCTAGTCTTAATATTTACATTCAGCTTCGCAAACATAAACTAACGATTATTTAAAATAAATAGTAAGTTTTACTGAGTTTCATTTCTCACAATTTATTTTTAGCACTCTGGATGTGATCAAATTAGCTTTTTTTTTTCTTTTTTTAAAAATTTTCTTTAATGTGAGGTTAACGAACACTCTGTACCCCTGGGAATGTAGATGTGTACCCCTGATAAATCTCTAGATTTGAGCAATGTGAATGCTGGGAGCCTGGTTCAGCACAGACTCCACTGCTCCGTCCTGCCTGCTTGATCTGCCTGTCTGCATAGCAATTTGAGTTTATAAATTCTGTTCTAGACCTTCCTTGACCACATGCAGTTTCATATATCCATGTGTTTAAAATGTGATCCTGTATTCTTACATTGAGTGGCACTCTGCCTTATACCATTTTTTCCCCCCTGATTAGGCTTTGGAAGATCGGGTGTGGGAACTCTTGCAGGAAGCAGACAAGACAGCCGCAGAGAACAAGGATCAGAGTCAGGTGTATGACGCCATGGCCAGCACCCTGGGGGAAGCCTGGGCAGCCCTGGTCTCCATGCTTGAAAGACGAAGGGAGCTCCTCAAGTTGACCTCCGAATTTTTTGAAAGTGCCTTGGAGGTTTGTATTTAAAAAAAGACAACAACGAAAAACACCTACTTCTGCCTTCTCTATATCAGAACAAATGGGTAGCACTCCTGAAAATGTTTTATTTCTACATATAGACATTGCAACTGGTTCAAAAAAAGTCACAATAACCAGTATTATATATGTATATATGTATATTACATTTATTTTGTGACTGTTAAAACATAAGATTTTAATATTTTAAATGTAGGCCTTCAACCAAAAACTAAGTACAGTTCATTAAAGTTAAGTAAAATATTAAATAAAAGTGGGAACTCTACTTATAAGTCATTATATTTCCTTTTGTAGAAGATAGTAACATAATTACTAAATCAAACAAATACCCCTGAATATAGGATTTCTAGGAAATGGTGGTGTAGAATGTTCTTATCAACTAAAAGTTGTTAACTAAAAGTTCTGCTGCTTACCCAAAGGGAATTGCAGAATAATCCATGGAATGTTTGAATTGTGAGCATAGCATTTTATAAAGTACTTTTCCGAGGCATATAGTTGAGTTACTGCAGTTTGAACTCATTAAAATGTAAGGGAAGAAAAAGTCCTGGGGCTAAAAAGGTCATTTCCCCTATGATTTTTCTTAAATTCTGCAGTGTTCTGAGGTTCCAAATTTTAAAATGTGATGCTTAAAGAACACTATCAAAAGAGATGTTATGGTTGGCATGACAGTTATTGGAAATTTCACTTTTAACTACTCTGTCAAATGGCAGTACATTCATTTCCATGTGAGAGCACTGCTGCATGATGATAAAGCACACACTTTGAAAAATATGACATTTCCAAGCCGACAATTCAGGACTTAAATTCAAAATAATGAAGGAAAGAAGTTTAGTGATAGAACATAGTAATTGAGGTAGACAATCTCATGCCTCACAAACTCGGTTAAAAGTAAAAAGGAGGAGCAAAACCTTATTGTAATTTTCAAGGTTTATTTTCCATAATTTGAACACAGAAGTCCAACTCACAGTTAATTTTACAGATCAATTTGAGGAAAGTTCTATGCAAAATTTTCTTTCGTGAGAAGAACCAGGTGAAATATACCTACAGAGGTCATATTATAGATACACCTGATTTATTCTATCTTAGTAAGTGAGGTGGAGGTATCAACTGCCCTTGACATTCTGCTCATTTGAGCACAGGGAATTATTGTTTTTCCAAACATTACACTCAATATTTGTTTCTCACTATGGAGTAGCATTAATGCTAGCTGATTTTCTCTTTGAGAAATTACTTCCAGATAATTCATAAAATAAAACTAAGTCAACCTATCATTCAACCCAGAACTCCAATCCCTAATAAAATGACTGTTTCTTTTCTTTTATATTATATACTAATTTTATTTATTTAAAAATATTACTTCTTCTTATTATTATTTTATTGTTGTTCTATTACAGTTGTCCCAATTTTTCCCTGTTTGCCCTTCTCTGCCCAATCTACACCCCTGTTTCCAGTCAATCCCCACACTGTTGTCCATGAGTCATTAATATATATTTTTTGACTAGTCCCTTCCCCTTCTTTCCACCATTATCCCTCTTCTCTCTCCCCTCTGGCCATTGTCATTCTGTTTCACGTCTCCGGTTCTATTTTGTGCATGTTTGTTTTGTTCATTTAGTTCCTCTTTTTCATTGTTGTTTTTAATTTTATTGATTATGACATTACAGTTGTTCTATTCCCCCCCTTCATTCCCCTCCACCCTGCACACCCCTCCCCCACCATTCCTCCCCCTTTAGTTTATGACCACGTGTCTCAAGTTCTTTAGATTCTATATTTCCCATGCTATTCTTGCCCTCCCCCTATCTATTTTCTACCTACCGTCTATACTACTTATCTTCTGTACCTTCTTCCCCCTTCTCCTCCTCCCACTCTCCTGTTGCTAACCCTCCATGAGATCTTCATTTCTTTGCTTCCACTCCTGATCTAGCTGTCCTCTTAGTTTGCTTTTGTTTTAGGTATGGTTGTTAATAACTGTGAGTTTGCTGTCCTTTCACTGTTCATGTTTTTTATCTTCTTTTTCTTAGGTAAGTCCCTTTAACATTTCATATAATAAGGGCTTGGTGATGATGAACTCCTTGAATTTGATCTTATCTGAGAAGCACTTTATCTATCCTTCTGTTCTAAATTAAAGCTTTGCTGGATAGAACAATCTTGGTTGTAGGTCTTCGGATTTCATGAGTTGGAATACTTTTTTCCAGCCCCTTCTTGCCTGTAAGATGTCTTTTGAGAAATCTGCTGACAGTCTAATGGGAACTCCTTTGTAGGTGACTGTCCCCTTATCTCTTGCTGCTTCTAGGATTCTCTCCTTCATTTTAATCTTGGATAATGTAATTATGATGTGCCTTGGTGTGTTCCTTCTTGGGTCCAACTTCTTTGGGACTCTCTGAGCTTCCTGGATTTCCTGCAAGTCTATTTCCTTTGCCAGATTGGGGAAGTTCTCCTTTATTATTTGTTCAAATAAGGTTTCCACTCATGGCTGTTCCTCTTCCCCTTCTGGTACCCTTATAATTCGGATGTTGGAGCATTTAAAGATGTCCTGGAGGTTCCTAAGTCTCTTCTCATTTTTTTGAATTCTTGTTTCTTCATATTTTTCTGTTTGGTCATTTTGTTCTTCCTTCTGGTCCACTCCCTTGATATGAGTCCCAGTTTCCTTTCCATCACTGTTTCTTTCCTGTGCATTTCCCTTCATTTCAATTAGTTTAGCCTTCATATGTTCCTTTAATTTGTAACTAAAATTAGCCAGTCTGTGAGCATCCTGATCACCAGTGTTTTGAACTGTGCATCTGAAAGTTTGGCTATTTCTCGGTCACTTAGAGTTATGGGCTCTGGGACTTTGAGTTCTTCTTGAGCCCTGTTTGGTCATTAAGTATGAGGAGCGGAGCCTTAGTTGTTCACCAGGGCGGGGCCACCCAGGTCGCTGGTTTTGTGATGCTGTACATGGGGGCAGGGCCAGAGTGGGGCAATAGTGGTTCCCTCTGCCGCTTCCCACAGCTGGGGCCTGCTCGGTCCGTCTCACTGCTCACTTTTTCGCTGGTTTATCTGCGCGCGAATGTGTGACCCTGGTCAGCCTGCCACCCCGCGCCCTCACTGGGTCCACCTGTCAGAACCCCACACATGGGGATTCGCCAACCGCCGACCCACCACGCACCTGGGTCGGTCTGGCCACTTTTTCCTGTGCAACCCTGCTCAGCCAGCTGCTGGCTCCGTTCCTCTTACCCGTCTGGCTGAAGGGTTCATTGCTGTCGGACTTCAGTATAGTTCAATTTTCTGTGTTTTGGTTGCGCCTTTTTTTACTAAAACTTTGTTGTCTTTAAACTTGGTTGTGCAAGAAGGCACAATGTTTCCACCTACGCCTCCATCTTGGTGGAAGTCCTCATTTAATTCCTCTTATAAGTGAGATTACATTGTGTGTATTTTTCATCAGTGGGCTTATTTCACTTAATCATAATATTCTCGAGTTCCATCCATGCTATTGTAAAAAGTAGGACTTCTTTCTTTGTTTCTGCTGCATGGTATTCAATCATGTAAATGTACCAGTTTTTTTATTCGCACATCTACTGATGGGCACTTAGACTTTTTCTAGCACTTGCCTATTATAAATAGCGCTGCTCTGAACATTGGTGTGCCTAAGTTCTTTTGAATTGGTGTTTCAGGATTATTAGGGTATATTCCCAGCAGTGGAATCACTGGGTCAAAAGGCAGTTCCATTTTTAGGTTTTTTTGGGGGGAATTCCATACTGTTTTCCACAGTGGCTGCACCAGTCTGCATTCCCACCAACAGTGCACTAGGGTTCCCTTTTCTCCACATCCTCACCAGCACTTGTTTGTTGATTTATTAATGATGGCCATTCTGACAGGAGGAAGGTAATATCTCATTGTGGTTTTAATTTGCATCTCTCTGATGGTTAGTGATATTGAGCATCTTTTCATCTGTCAGTGGACCCTCTGTGTGTCCTTTTTGGAGAAGTGTCTGTTCAGGTCCTCTGCCCATTTTTTAATTGGGTTATTTGTCTTTCTGGTGTTGAGTTGTATGAGTTCTTCATATTAAAATGACCTTCTTGTATCACCCTGCTTCCAATTTTGTGGACCACTGTATACTTAGTTTACAACAAAGCTCTACATGATACTCCCCACCCCTTCTGTACATCAAAGCATTTTCATTAATGATTTTTTTAAAAAGAGAAAGACTAACATTAAAAATAGGGTTTTTTTTAAAATCCCTCTCATCATTATTTCTATTCTATATAAGCCAAAGAAAAAAGAAAAGTGGGGGAAAGATAACACCCATAAGATGGAAGTTAATAGTATTTTAGGGAAGCTTTCACTTAGTAAAATTGTTTGTTTGTTTACGAATTTTTAAATAACAAGCTGAAATATATAGGACTCCAAAACTCTTTGCAATATTTTACAGGGAAAAAACAAATTACCTACATGGTTTCTATTTTTTTGTTTTTGTTTGAAAGTTCTGCTCAAGGAATGCTTTTAAAATCAGTTGTCAGAAATGGAATGAATTAGAGATGTGACGTGTGGATAGGATTCCCTTATGGGACTACGTGCATTCAAGAGTTCTTCAAAAATGCAAATAATTTCCTATTGCACAGTGGATACTTACTAGAGGACAGTTTCTGACTCATACACTGAACCATCAGAAAGGCTGTTCTCTTCTCCAACATAGTGCTTCAATTTAGAAACATTGTCCCTAAGTGACAATGGCAGGTGCCCATCAGATGTTCTGACATTATGATGGAGGCCTTCCCTGCATTTCTAAAGAAGACACACTCATTCTCTCATTGTCCTATGCTGTTTATAACTGGGTCTTATATGGCTATCATAACAATGATAACATAGACCTCATTCATCAAATAGTTACATAAAAGTATTAAAAATCACCAAAGAAAAATCTCAAAAAAGCACAAGCACTGTGACACCTTTTGTCTTTCTTTCTGATATGGTACCTTTATAATTTATCTACACTTGATCCAAAGGTGGACATGTTGATTAAAATGCTCTTATAAACTATAATAATTACCTTTGAATCTTCATGTTAAACCATCTGTCTGCTACTATGAATATGCTATACTAGCATAACCAAATATGCTTTGACCTTTCTAAACCTGTTTTCTAAGATTAGTCCCCTGAGAATTTTAACAGCACTTCAAGCATCTCCCTTTCTACCTCCTCATGGAGAACCACAAAAAAGAAATTGATCATATTCCCCACCATTTAGGATGTCAAGTTCAAATTGCCATTTTTTTCTTGAAACAGAGGAGAAATTTTCCATTTTTCATTCTTGCTGTATCAAATCTCATTTTATTTATACAAATAATGTATACAATTATTTATAAAAATGCAAACAAACTTACAAATTATAAATCTAGAAATTAAACTTTTACCTCCCTAAACCTATACCCAAACCCATTTATTCTCATAATGTAACAATGTATGTATTTTATATATATACACAAAGCCTATGTATAAGATATATATATATAGGATATACATAACATGTGTGTGTGTGTGTGTAGGCTTTGTGTAAGAAATGGGATTAGACATTGCTTCTTGGCCTTTTGGCTAAAATGGAATTTGAAAATGGGATTGGACTATGTATTATTTTGAAACTTGCATTTTTCAGATCTAGGTCTAATTATAGAGGGGGAAAAAGCCTGTATTTCAACCTTCCCTCTACATGGGTTCTTAAGTTAAATTTTTTATAATTATGTCGTCACTGGTTAGCCAAACTTCTGTTAGTTTCTCCTATCAAATGTTCTAGTAATTTTTTTGACAAACTGCCTATAATGTTAAAAGTGGCTGTATTCATTACAATGGACACAAAAATTTTAGTTGAAAATTGCAATAGACATTTGAATAGTAAGCAGTTTGGTCTATTACATTATACATGATGTTTTTCCAGGTAAGAAAGGAATGCAAAAAAAAAACATCATTACCTTGGTATTTTGTCAGTTGGCTGCATGTGAACACACGCCCTCACACAAACACCCTAAGCCAGCACATGTTCACCCGGGCCCACACCTCACACAAACACATACAGAGTCAGCTAGGCTATTAATTCACTTTTAAAAACCTGTGTATAACTAAAAGTGGCAAATTAACTTTTATTTTTTCAAATGCCTCTTCCCTCTACTTCTCTTGTAGTTTGCTATTAAAATAGATCAAGCAGAAGATTTCCTCCAGAACACTCAGGAGTTTGAGAGCACGGAGTCCTTAAAATCACTCCTTCAGCTTCATGAACGTCATACCAAAGGCAAGAAATGTGTTCATTCTTCACATAAGCTTTTAAATATTTTAAAAGATGTTAATGGGAGAATGCTTCTGTATGACTGTATTTTTAATTTACCTGTTTACATATACCTCAGCTCATTCCAAGAAAGATTAAAGAAAGCTCTTTTCTCAGTCATCTTCTGCAAGAAAGAAGTAGTTGTAGATGATTCTGAGGAGATGGTGGAGGAACAGCCTCTGGGAGATCATGGGAACCCTGGACGTCACTCAGTCCGCTCCATTTTAGTTCCCGAGCACAGGGGCCATGCTCACCTTGTGCCCCTGTGTATCCTCAGCATCTAGCAAGGCGTTGGCACCTGGTGGTCCACCAAAGCTATTTCTTGGTCAAATAAATGCTTGGATTCAGTGACCGCTTCTTTTCAGGGAAAGTGAGTGGAGATCAGCCTTTAAATACCAGCTCTGGATAAGGGCGATCCCTTTCGTTATTGCAGTTTTTAAAAAGAATGGAGTTGTGAAAATTTTCCAAGTGAAAAAATCTAATTAAAACACTGTCAGCTCCCTCTGAACAACTATAAAGGTAGTCTAATTGTTAACCAATAATTTGTATCTAGCCCTTTTCTAACAGAATTTGGGGTGGGCAGAGTTGCAGTAGGGAAGGCATCTGTGAAAGAGGAGCTGCTTATTGTAATTTTTTCTGAGGAAGCAGGGGAGATAAGAACAGCACTTCTTTTCTTTCTAATGCATTTTTCTAATTATTACTGCCAAAAACCTGGGGATGAGTGGATGCTTTCCTGCACTCATTCGTCACAGTTCTAACTCAGCTTCAAGCTTGACCAGCTTGATTGTACTGGACAAGGGGCAAAAAGAGGTTTTAAGGCCACAGATAGATCGTGTGTTTCTATCACCCTGGAAAGGGACCCTAGATAATAGATCACAACTTTTCTAAAAGTCAAAGATTAAAGGGCTCAATCTTTCCTATGTAAATTATGAGATGCTACCACATACATACATGTAATTTTAACTGATTGTTGTTGTTGAGGACCTGTCACTATGCTGAGGGATTAATTATCAACAGCACCAGAAGCAATGGCCTTAACACAGCAGCCTGCTCACTTTTGCACAGCAACAGCAATCCAGCTGGGTCCAAAGAGGGTGAACAGAATCACAAAAGATTCCTCTTAGGACCCTGGAAAGGGAGCCTGGGTCCAGGTCACTGAGATGGGTCTGTGGTCTCAGTCTTCGTCACCCAGTATGAGCCTCACAGCAACTTTACCTCCAGGAGCCTGACAGCGATGGATGCTTTTGTTGAAGACGTTCAGTACTGAGGCAATCAAATGCAAGCATTTTTTAGGGAGTGAGTGTGTGGGAGTGGGGACTTTTCCATACATATTTTGGGTTGGAGCGGAAATGGAAAAGTGGCCTTAATGCTGTTTTATTGTTGTTGTTATTTTGGCTCCCTCAGAGTTGCTAGGGCCTGTGGTAGGCGGGTCACACGCTGCTCAGACCACAGGGCCCTGGCCTCCCGGAGCTCGAGTGGGATTGCTGCCTTGCCTTTCAGGGTGCCGTGTGCAAGTGTCCACCAGGCCTCTTCTTAATCTGTGAAGATGGATGCACATGCTGGCTGAAGGCGGAAAACGTAGTTCATTTTTGTGATGACAAAATATTCTCCCATCCTTCCATCCTCATGGCATGTTTATTGTGACATTTTGTGTTCCTCTACGTGATACCTGAAGCACAGAGATCACAGGGGACTCTGGTCATAATGTCTGGCTCTGGATATCCAGGCAGGATGTGCCCAATGGCGGCTCTGAGGGCTTTGTTTTCATAAAATAGGAGTAGATGGGATTTGTTTAACAAGTAATTCAGTGGGATATGATTAAGATTAGCTGATTTAAAATGGATATGCAAGGACAAAATTCTGATTTTCACTTAACGACTGCATATCTGACTTAGTCTTTTCAGACTGTTATAGTAAAATGCCACAGACTTGGTGGCTTATAAATGACAGACATTTATTTCTCACAGTTCTGGAGACTGGAAGTCTGAGATCAGGTGCCAACCCAGTCAGCTGAGGGCTCTCCCCCAGGGTGCAGATTTCCCGTGTGTCCTCACACAGGGGAGGGGGTCGGAAGCTCTATGAGGGCTCTTTTAATAAGAGGATGAATCCTACTCATGAAGCCTCCGCTCTCGTGACCTAATCCCCTCCCAAGGACCCCACCTCCTAGTGCCGCCATCTTGGGCATTAAGATTTCAACATGTGAATTTTAGGGGCACAAACATTCAGACCATAGTGATATTTATCATTTTTAAACTTAAGGAAATAAAATATATCTGTAACTTATTTATTTTATAACTGAAATTTATTCCTCTTCATACCCTTTACCTGTTTCTCCTACCCTAGTCCATCCACGTTCTGGCAAATGGCAACAGTTCGTTCTTCTACTGGATGAGTAGAATTCTATTGTATATACCTACCACGGATTTTTCTTTTGTTTTTTAAAAATATGTTTTATTGATTATGCCATTACAGTTGTTCTATTTCCTCCCCTTCATTCCTCTCCATGCTGCACACCCCTCCCCCACCATTCCCCCCCTTAGTATATGACCACGTGTCTCAAGTTCTTTAGATTCTATATTTCCCATACTATTCTTGCCCTCCCCCCTGTCTATTTTCTACCTACCATCTATACTACTTATTTTCTGTACCTTCTTCCCCCTTCTCCTCCTCATACTTCCCTGTTGCTAACCCTCCATGTGATCTTCATTTCTATGGTTCCACTCCTGATCTAGCTGTCCTCTTAGTTTGCTTTTGTTTTAGGTGTGGTTCTTAATAACTATGAGTTTGCTGTCCTTTCACTGTTCATGTTTTTTATGTTCTTTTTCTTAGATAAGCCCCTTTAACATTTCATATAATAAGGGCTTGGTGATGATGAACTCCTTGCATTTGATCTTATCTGAGAAGCACTTTATCTGTCCTTCCATTCTAAATGAAAGTTTTGCTGGATAGAGCAATCTTGGTTGTAGGTCTTTGGATTTCATGACTTGGAATACCTCTTTCCAGCCCCTTCTTGGCTGTAAGGTCTCTTTTGAGAAATCAGCTGACAGTCTGATGGGAACTCCTTTGTAGGAGACTGTCCCCTTATCTCTTGCTGCTTGTAGGATTCTCTCCTTCATTTTAATCTTGGATAATGTAATTATGATGTTTCTTTTTTGGATCCAACTTCTTTGGGACTCTCTGAGCTTCCTCGATTTCCTGCAAGTCTATTGCCTTTGCCAAATTAGGGAAGTTCTCCTTTATTATTTGTTCAAATAAGGTTTCCACTCATGGCTGTTCCTCTTCCCCTTCTGGTACCCCTATCATTCAGATGTTGGAGCATTTAAAGATGTCCTGAAGGTTCCTAAGCCTCTCCTCATTTTTTTGAATTCTTGTTTCTTCATTCTTTTCTGTTTGGTCATTTTTTTCTTCCTTCTGGTCCACTCCCTTGATTTGAGTCCCAGTTTCTTTTCCATCATTATTGGTTTCCTGTGCATTTCCCTTCATTTCAATTAGTTTAGCCTTCACTTGTTCCTCTAATTTGTGACTAAAATCAAACAGTTCTGTGAGCATCCTGATCACCAGTGTTTTGAACTGTGCATCTGAATGTTTGGCTATTTCTCAGTCACTTAAAGTTATGGACTCTGGGGCTTTAAGTTCTTCTTGAGCCATGTTTTGGTCTATTGGCACCTGTTATATATGAGGAGCAGAGCCTTAGGTGTTCACCAGGGTAGGGCCACCCAGGTCGCTGGGTTGTGACACTGTATGTGGGGGCGGGGTCAAGGAGGGGCAATAGCAGTGCCCTCTGCTGCTCCCTGAAGCTGGAGCCTGCACAGTCTGCCACACTGCTCACTTCTTCACTGGTTTATCTGCGCACGAATGTGTGACCGTGGTCAGCCTGCCACCTTGCACCCTCACTAGGTTTACCCATTGCTACCCCACACCTAGGATCTGCCCATGGCTGCCTGCACAACTAGGTCTGGGGATCTTTCCTGCCCAACCAGCTCCACTGCTGGCTCCACCCCTCTTACCGGTCTGGCTGAAGGGTTCGTTCTTGTTGGACTTCCATATAGTTCAATTTTCTGTGTTTTGGCTGCATTTTTTGTTACTAAAACTTTATTGTCTTTAAACTTGATTGTGTGAGAAGGCAAAGTGTTTCCACCTATGCCTCCATCTTGGCGGAAGTCCTAGCCCTACCATGGATTTTTATCTTTTTCTCCATTCATCCATTGGTAGACACTTGGGTTACTTCCACAGTTGGGCTTAGATTAATGTACAGCTTAGGGAATATAGTCAATCACATTATAATAATGGTTACCAGATAGTAACTAGACTTACTGTGGTGATCATTTTGTAATGTATGTAAATATTGAATCACTATAATGTGTACCTGAAACTTATTATAACCAATTATATTTCAATAAAAATATATTTATTAATGAAGCTAGCCATCCTATCAAGGTTCTGAAATGTTGATCAATGAGTACAACAAAATGGGAATCTTAGGAAGACAAAGGTTAATGATGTAATGACTGTAGAAACCATAATCAAACTTATCCCTAATATTCATTGTATTTCATTTAGCTTCCCTTATACCTTTTCCTTATTCACCAACACTAAGGCATTTTGTATGTTAGAAACCTATTCTGTGACCTTGTAGAAGCCATAACCAGGATGAATGGATTGAAGTTCCTGCCCTTTGGAATGTTCCAGACTAAGTTTGTTTTTTCCTCTGCATGACAATTCCTCAAATAGTTGAAAACTAATGTGTCCTCTCCAGCCTTCTCTTCAATGGATGAAACATGCCTAGTTAGCTAAAGTGTTTTTCAGAAAGCATAGTTTCCAGACCACTTACCAGCCTGGTGACCCTCAATTTCACAACACATAATTAAACAATATCTTTTGAACCCATGCCAGGAGAGAGACCCAGAGTTGTGTGTCAGGGAAGCACATGGCCCTTGCCCTCTGGAGCCCCACAGTTCAGTGGGGCC